CCTCATCTACGAAAATCTTTATGGGAACCAAGGGCGTATGTGGTGCAATTTGCCTACTCTGCGAAAACAAAACTCAGAGGAGTTGCTAGTAAATGCAAATCCAACTTCCCCGGTCGCAGAGTCTGCTGATGTTTCCAAAATCACTTGAGCAAATGGCTGTGGAACGCGGCAGTCGGTGATTTGTGTTTGGCTCGCTCGGGGACAGAGCGTTACCCGCACAGCTTTAAAATTCCAGGCAAGTTGGGTCATCTCGTCAGGCTCCCAGCGGTTACAGCGCAAACCACAGGTTACCCTCTGGCCAGATCACGGTGCGTCAGCACACTGGTGAAAGAACACCGTGCACAGGGCCACGCCGGGTGTCACAGTTACAGCGCGCCTCCAAAGCTGCCCCAGAGTCTCCTCCCAAGCATCGCCTGGGGCAGCGGGGCGCCGGCTCCATCACTGACTCAGCGCCCCATTCCCCTCACTGCTCCTCGCACTTCCCCGACCCTCCACTAGGGGGTTTGAAACTGGGCAGCACCAGGACGCATCCCACAGCCATGGCCCACCCTGGAAGGAGCTCCCTCCCCTCCCCCAAAGAGCGAACGGCTCTTTTTAGGTTTCTGAAAGATATCCCTTCTCTTTCGTTGTAAGAAAGGGAAGCGAGGGGAAGCGTGCCCCAGGTGCGAGGCTCTCGAAGCGCCTAGCGAGCCGCCGTGGTACTTTCAGGGGCAAGCTGGTCCGGAACGAGAGTGGGTCAGGTGGAGACCTCACCTTACCCTGCTGAGCTGTGTCATCTGCTTACTTCCTTTCCCCCCCAGGACTTCGGAGGCTTAGCCGACAGGCAGTGCAGTGCCCCACTCCTCCGTGCACGTGGCCGGGACCTGTACCCAGGCGTACACCTGTGTACCCGCCACCGCGACCGAGACCCAGCCCCTCCGCCTCACCCGGAGGTGCCCCTGCCCCCAAGGGTGACCACTCTCAAGGTGGAAAAGGGGCTGCCTGTACTTGAACTTTGAATAAGGGAATTCACTCAGCATGGACTCTGATGTCTAGTTTCTTTTGCTCACCATGGCTTTGAGATACGCTTGTGCTCTTGGTCCTTTTTAAATTTATTTCTGCTTTTTTATTTTAGAGAGATGGGAAGGGAGGGAGAAATAGAGGGAAAGAAACATTAATGTGAGAGAGAAACATCAACTAGTTGCTTTCTGTATGCACCCCAACTGGGGACTGAACCCGCAACCCAGGCATGTGCCCTGACCGGAATCGAACTGGTGACCTTTCAGTTTGCGGACGACACCCAACCCCATGGAGCCCGAGCCACGCGGGCTGGGACTGTGCTCCTTTCCCTTGGACGGCTCCATCGTGTCCCACTGTAGGGCTATATCAGTTGGTCAGTCCATCCGTTCTCCCGGCTCGTGACTTTTAGGACAGTGTGTTTGGTTTGCCTCCGGTGACCAGTGTGGGTGAATCACACCCTCGCACCGCCCAGGCCTGTCCACTCCCGGGGCAGGCCGACCGAGGTCACACAGTGTGGGGCCCGCACGCGCTCCTGGGGTGTTGGTTCCTCGCCCTTAACTAAGCTTCAAAGACAGTGGCCTCTCTGAGAGCCACGGTTCAAAAGCAAAGCGACTGGTTTTCTTTAAGAGGGGCCGCCGCTTGTAACCTGATGTTTATAATTGTGCTCCAGACGTAGGGTATGGCGGGAGAGACGCGAGTAGCAGGCTAAGCAACAGGAGACAGTTGATGGGGACTAAGGCCCTCTCTCTGCTTCTTGTTAAAAATTCTTTTAAAAATAGATTTTATTTATTTTTGGAGAGAGGGAAAGGGAGAGAGCAAGAAAGGGAGAAAAACGTTGTTTGGCTGCCTCACACACGCCCCCTACGGGGGACCTGGCCCGAAACCCAGGCATGTGCCGTGACTGGGAACCGAACCGGCGGCCCTTCCCCTCGTGGGACAACACCCAACCCACTGAGCCACACCAGCCAGGGCAAATTCTTTTTTTTTAATTGAAAACCAACACTTTCCAAACCTCAAGTGAGTATGTGCTCACTGCTCTGAAAAGCAGTTTGGAAAGCCGTTTTGTTCGATGACAGCCCCAGCGAGAATGCTGGAGAATGCTGGAGAATGCGTTTATAAACTCCCCAGGGGCCCGGCCAGGAAGGAGGGGAAGTCTGTGGGGTTAGATCATTTGTTACTCCTTCCTCTAACCCTGAAACACACACACACACACACACACACACACACACACACACACACTAATCCATTCCTGACTCTCTTCTAGAGCACACAGGAGAGAAAACAAATCCGTTACAACTAACACAATGTATATATTTTTAAAAGTCTTCCCAGCTGCATTTGACAAGAAATCATCCAGTCCTCCAGCCCAGGAGGTGCAGGGCAGATGGAGGAGTGGGAGCAGGACACTCAGTGGCGGGCTGGCACTGGGGCGGGGGTGGGGGGAAGCGGGTGGGCCCACATTGGGGTGGGGGTAGGGGGAGGTGGGTGGGCCCGCACTGGGGCGGGGGTGCGGGGGGAGGCAGGCACCACACTGCTGTCCCAGAAGGAGCTGCTTTGCGTGAATTTCTTAGTAACAAGCACCACACTTGCATTTACAATATGAGTATGCTTTTTATACGAAGATGTCTACAAAATTCCAGGAACTCTACTACCACGCGAGGCCCAGGTCAGTTCCTCTTTCAACTAAGAATCCCCCGTCCCTGGCGAGCAGCCCGCTGGAAGTAGGCGGACCACTGCCAGGGGGCGGGAGTCCACTTCCAGAGAAGTTCTCCCACGGGGTCCCGCCATGGGTGGAAGGGAGGGTTCCGCCCACCTTGCAGCGTTCAAACCAGCAGCTGTAACTTCTGTGCGGAAACCGGGAAGCTGGACACACCGACGGGACCTTCGACCACTGACTCCCGGGGCCTCGCCGTGCACCGGACGCCTCCTCGGCCTCCTGGTCCCGGGGCCCAGCAGCGGGGCGTCTCCGTTTTCCCTCTCAGGGCTGCTCTCCGGCTCCCTCCCTCTCGGTCCCAGGCTCTGCGTGGGGTCTGGGTGTGCGCCCGGGTGGGCGGGGTGCCGGTGGACCACCCAAAACACTGCCGGGGGGTGGGGGTGGGTCCAAACTCTCCGCGTCTCTGGGCCACGCTGGAAGAGGAGTTGTCTTGGGCCACACATTAGGTACATTGCGACACGTAGTCACAAAAAAGTCTCATAAGGTATTAGGTAAATTGATGGTCCTGTGTTGGGCTGCATTCACAGCCATCCTGGGCCACGTGCGGCCGGCGGATCACTGGTTGGCCTGCCCCCCGAGATGTAACACCTTGTCTGTGCGTGTCTCTAGAGTAGACCCCCCCCCCCCAAGCTGGCACCGTCCCTCCGGCACACAGAGTGCAGGTCTGGCCTGACTCTGCCCGGATCCCATCGGGATCTCAGTGGCCAATTCACCACCTTTGGGTCCTCCCCAGCTTGGTTCGAGACACCCCAGATTGGGTCGTGGGAAGCCTCAGAGACCTCTGACCTTCCCCTGTCCCAAACCCTGGCACCCGACGAAGGTCCGAACGCTGCAGCCCCGCCAGGCCGTTCTCACCGCCCCCCGCCCCTCGCCGCCGCCTCCGTGCTCAGCCCGGGCAGCTCGGGCCTGGCCCGCCGCAGCGGCTGCCGCGTCCGGCCCCGGCTGGGGCTTTGCTTCCCTCGCCCTCCGCGGCACTCAGGCCCGCTCACACGCTCCCAGGGGCTCGGGGTCCGAGCCCTGGCTCCCCTCCCTGCCCTCCGCCAGTCCCCAAAGGGAAGCGTGCTGTCCCTGCCCTGCCCCGTCAGAGCCCCAGGGACGAGGGTCCTGTTCTCCCTTCCCTTCTGCGAGCCGAGTCCTCTCTTCCTCTACTGCGGGCGGACAAGAGGTTATTTGCCTTGACCCCGTCAGATGGCCCTTCCCGACCAGCCTCCTCGCCCCTGTGTACTCCCCCCCCTTCCACCCTGAGGGGTCCCTAACGGTATGACTCTTGCACCCGGTGTCCCTGGGGCCTCGCTCTCGTGGGGCACAAACCTCCGGAGGGCCAGGCTCTGTCCCTGCGGCCCGGGCACCCGCAGCGGAAGGGCGGGGCCCGGCGTCTGGGCGGCTGCTGTCCAGGTTTGCTGCAGGGAGCTGAAGGAGCGAGGTAAGCCGTGAGGCGCCGCCGACGCCGACCTGCAGGGACAGGGGACAGCCCCACCCGCGGGGCGGACGCAGACTCTCCCACCCTCGGAGGTCGGAGGTCGGACCTCCTGGGACGGCCCGTCTGTGGGGGCCCCCCCCCAGTCTGGGGCTCCGACCTGTTGCGCTTGTCTCCTAAGTCCCCGGGGGCCCCGGACCCGGTCTGCCAGCCCCGGCCTTTCCTCTACCGCTCGCCGGCGACACAGCCGTGAGTTAGCTTTGGACACAGATGGGATCGCGTCAGCGCACACCCAGCCCCCTTCCCCAGCTTCCAGTATTTCCCAGGCCAGCCTCGCTGGCCCTGGTCTCCACGCTCCCCTTCCTGGCGCCCCACACTGTCCCCCGCCCCCCCTCCGGCCGAACTCCGGCCCCGCAGCCCGGCTCAGCTGCTTCCTGTGGCTACAGGATGTCATCTCCCCAGGAAAAAATCCCCCGCTCCCCTAGGACGGGGACAGTCCCCGGGGGTTCCTGCAACCCCAGGTCCGGTTCTGGGCAGGAGCTGAGCGGGCGAAGTGCCTGTTGGTTTAGGGACTTGACGCACGTGGGCCACGCCATGGCCGCCGCTGCCCCCCCCGCCCCACCGCCCACCCGAGTCCCGAGCCCCGAGCTCCCCGGCAGCATCAGCCCAACAAAAGGATGTGGGTGAGCCCCGGGGGTCTGCTGCCCCAGCCGCGGCCTTCGGAGCTGCACCGCCCCTTCGCTGCGCCGAGAGTGAGAGCGCGGTGTGGGACGGCCTCGTGGGCTGCGGGCGGTGACCACACCGCCGGGTCCAGGCGGACCTCTAGCAGCGGGCGCTGCAGGACCGGGGCGGGGCGGGGGCTGGCGCTGGGGCCGCGCCCTCCGGCCACTCCCCGGGGAGAGCGGGCAGCGGCCGGGCAGCTACTAAGCAGCTCCCCCAGCGCTGCGCTCCCGCCCCGCCGCTGGCGCCTCCGCGGCCCATGTCCTCGGTGTTGCTGCGCTCGTCCCCCCTGAGGCCCCCGAGGATGAAGAAGGAGGAGTCGTTCCTGGGCAAGCTGGGCGGTACGCTGGCGAGGAAGAAGAAGTCCAGGGAGGGTGAGTGTGCCCGCCGCGGGCCTCCAGCTGCGCCTGCGCCTGCGCCCCGCCAAGACCACGCGTCCCCGCGCTCGCCGCCCAGTTCCGCTGGGACTAGGCGTCCCCGCGCGTGCCCCGATCCCCGCCGGGACCTCCCGTCCCCGCGCGCGCCTCCGCGATCCCCGCCGGGACCGGACAACCCCGCGCACGCGCCCCCGAGTCGCGTCCAGCGTGGCGCGCAGCCGCGACCTTTGGGACAGGCTTTGACCCTTGCGCCTTCTTCCTCTCCGAGACCTTTAAACACCGCTTGAACCCGCCAGGAGCCAGGCTGCCCCCTCCGGCGGCGGCTCGCCGAGCCCCTCCTGGGCTCCTGCGTCACTGAAACGCCGCGCCAGCTCCTGCTGCGGGCAGGACTGGGAGCCCACGTCAGGCGAGCTCGGGCACGCGCGCGCCCAGCCCCGCGCCCAGCCCCGCGCCCCACCCGGCTGGAGTCGCCATTTACTGAGCGCCGTTCGCCTGCCGCTCGGGTGCTACAGCTCCTGCGCCGCGACCCCCATCCCGCGAGCATTCACTGGACCCTTATGCAGGCCGGGCCCGGCCGGCCTGCGGGTGTCCTTGGGGCGTGCAGACCTGCCCTGCACGGCGGTCTGTGTGGAGCGTGTTGGGATGGGGGGGCGGAGGCGGGGCTCCAGGCCGCGGGGTCCTGCTCTCCGGGACCCCAGAGCCCTCCACCCCTGCCCGCCCTTGGTTGTACTTCGTGTGCCCGTGGAAACAATTCTAAAAAAACTACCTGCCTTCCCTTACACGTTTTTTAGAGTCGCAAGAGGCGTCACCCCTGGTGCCTTGTGTGTGTGCTTTAAACACACTGCTGTCGCCGGGGCCTCTCCCGGGGCTGCGTTCTTGAATTTTCCGGCGGTGGGGGGTGGGGGATGGGAGCGGGGAGGGGCGAGAGGCTGGCCTGGGGCGGGGTGTGGGGACGGCAAGCCCCCAGAGTTAGGGGTGGGCAGACCCAGGAGCCGGACTTGCCCCCTAGGCAGTCCCCAGGCACCTCTGCCTTGGGCATCTCCCCTGGGACGCCTGGAACAAATTGGAGGACTGGGTTCGGGAGGGCGGGGCCTTGTCCCGTTCAGCGGGTCCTCGGGAGCAAACTGGCTGCCCCCCCCCTCTCCGGCTTCACGTGGAAGGGCCAGAGGCCCTGGTGAGTCGCTGGGAAGCCACGCCTCCTGAGGACAGGACGAAGGCGGGTCTCGGACTCCTCGTCATTCCTGCTGCCTCTCCCACCCGCATCCTCACCTTCCCCCGACATCGTTTCAATTCCTGTTTGTGCCCGAGAGCAATCACAGCCGTAAATGACGCTCCCTGTCCCAGCGCCTTCTGCTGGGGGACCCCAGGGAGGGAAGCCAGACCAGGCAGGCGCGGCTCCCCTGGAGCCCGGAGCCAACTGTACTAAACAGACCGCGCGCACTGATACGGGGTCCCTGAAGAAACGGTGACCAGCCCTGGCTGGTGTGGCGCAGTGGACTGAGTGCCGGCCTGGGAACTGGAAGGTTGCTGGTTCGATTCCCAGTCAGGGCACATGCCTGGGTTGTGAACCAGGTCCCCAGTGGGGGGCGTGCGAGAGGCAGCCAACTGATGTGTCTTTTGCACACTGGTGTTTCTCTCTCTCCCTCCCCCCTCTCTCCGAAAAGAAATAAAATCTTAAAGAAAAGGTAACCAGACAAATCAGAGTGCCTGGGGAAGGCCCCAGCACAGGTGATGTTGGGGCTGAGACCAGAAGGAGCTAGAAAGGCACCTTTCACCGAACAGCGAGCGAGCAGAATGTTCTGGATGCTCTTGGAACACGAGGAGCGAGTGCCTGAGGTCTGGGCCTGCCCCGAGTCCCAGGGGGAAGCTCTGCTTGTCCTTGCTCTGAGGTGACCAGCAGTGTGTACTGGGGGGGGGGGGCTGGGGCCACCCTGGTTTCACCCCTCTGCACCTGCACCCCGGAGCCCCACGCACCGGGAGGAGCAGAGTCCACCCGAGCCCAGCAGAAGGCGCCGCACGCACCCCGGCGTGTGAGGCTGCCGGATCCCCTGCCTCGGCTCTCCAGGTGGGGCGCCCGGCACCCGTAGGGGCCCCCACAGAAACCGGAGGCTGCGGACTGTAGTTGGGCTCCGACGCAGCACTGGGGGTGGGGGGGTGGGGGAGGCTGGACTTGGAAGGGCCTAGAGGCTTCCGTCCGGGCTGTGGGGGAGGGAGAGGGCGGGGACCTCGGCGGGGGCCAGGTGTGAAGACAGGTGGTGGGGCCCTGAATGGCTGGGGGCTGCCAGGGTCCCTGCGGGCCCGTCGCCCTGGCCACTGGCCCTCGCTGCCGTTCACGGGGCGCCCGAGCTGGTCCCGGCCCTGACTTGGGGGCCCTGGGGGTGGCGGTGCCCTGCCTGCCACCCAAGGGTCAGGAAGAGGGGGTTTGGGGCTTGCCAGGCACTGCCAGCTGCACTGCGGGTTTCATTTCCTCCTTTGTTAGAAAGTTGACATTGAGTTCAGGCGCGTGGGCGTGGGGGGAGGCCCTCGTCAGGGAGCGGGGGCAGCCCTGCCCAGAGGTTAGAGGTGCGGGGAGCCCGGGGCGTGTGACCCCGCCCAGGCTGGCGGCGGAGCTCGTGGTTTTGACAGGGCACCGGGGCACGTGCCCGAGGACCACCCGCCCTCCCCCAGGGCGGCTGCTTCAGGAGAGGCCGAGGAACCGCTGCTGGAAGTGTCTGTGGACCGCTTCACGGGGCGATTAAGGCCCGCGTCCCAGGGAGGGCCCCAGATCACGTCATGTGGTGGCCTGGGGCAGGAAATGGAACTGTGACTAACCCAGGCATCGGGAAAAGTGGCAAGGAGCACTTAAAAAAAAAAAAAAAAAAAAAAAGCACAGAGCTCCCCGTGGTAGAAGGTTCTGGGGACTTTCAGGAGCAGCGTACTAACAGCTGGGCTGGTTTCAGGGGGGCAAGCCAAGCAGGTGCGAGGAGGGGTTCCCCGCGTGAGGGCCCCCTCGTGACCGCAGATGGGAGCTCCCCTGGGTCCATCTGGCCAGGCGCTGGGCAAGGGGCGCCCCAGGGGTGCCCCAGCAGATGGGTGGAATCCTCTAGGGGGTGAGGCCACCAGCTCGGCGGCCCGTGGAGTCCTGGAGGGAAGGGGCGGGGTGGAGTCTGCTCCAGGCAGGCGCCCACCACCGGCCCCCCGGGCCCCGCGCACACCTGTGACCAGCGCGGGCCTGCTCCCAGCCACGGCCGCCAGAGCCACCCAGGGGCTCTGTCCCTCCTTTTCGGGGGAGGGACATTAAGGGGACTCAAGTCCCAATTTGCCTAGTTTTGGGGGGGAAAGGTACATTTCAGAGCAGTTTCAGGTTCGCATGATGTGCGTGTCCTTTCGGGGGGTGCTCCGTGCCGTCTGGGAGTCCCGCCGGTGTGACGACTGGCCCTCATGCGTTGTGATTGCGTTGTCTGCTGTGTCACTGCTGAGTCGTGACAGTTCCTGGTGTGTGTCGGAGGCCCCCCCTCCTTCACCCATGAGTCCCCCGCAGGCGCGCACCCCCCGAGCTGTGGCTTCTCCTCCGGGCCGCGGACCCTGGCCGCCTCCCACGCACTGGAGGCGGAGAGAGTTCATGGACGAGCAGGGTGTTGACTGGGCCTCCTGAAACCAGGTCTGGCGACATCGCTCGGTGACCGCGACCTCGAGCCGAAGGTTGGAAGCCTTGTTCCTTTTGTGACTTTAAGTGACTCGGGAGAGACGCCTCCTGGTCCTAAACCGCTGTCTGTTCATCCCGCGGGCTCCCTTCGGACCGCCCGGCCTTTGTCGAGTGACAGCAGCCCCCTGACTCCCTGCCCTGTGATAAGTTCGTAAGCCAGCCCCGCAAGGTAGGAGTGACCCCTCGTTTTGTAGTTGGAAACACAGCCTGACTCAGCAGCCGCTCCTGGGTAGTTTAAGCCAGCTGGGGGTGATTCTGCCCCGGGCGACAGTGGCAGTGTTTGGGGACACTTTGGGTGGTCACAGCTGGGGGTCGGGCTGACCCTGGCTTCCAGTACCTGGAGGCCAGGGTGCTGGGAGGCGCCCTGCAGCACACTGGCCGTCCACACACACACAGCACTGAGTCTTCCAGCCCCAAGTCAATCAGACGCTTTCAAAGGGTGAGGCTCAGGGGGCGACCCCTGGTCTTCGTTCGCCGGGGCGTCTCCAGCGGTGGCTCCCAGGGCGGGTGGACCAGCCCCCAGTGCCGGGGCACTGCCCCAGGGCCCTCCATGCCAGAGTCTGGAAGGACCCTGTGCCCTGCTGGGAGCCTAGCCTGCCCCCCTCGGCATCTGGGCTCTCAGCTCAGGATGTTGAAGGAGAGAACCCACATGGCCTGCCTTGTCCTCTGTCCCAGGGTAGCGGGGAGGGGGTGGTGCCCGGGAGCTTGGAGGGCTTAGGAAACAGATAAAAGAGTCTTTACCTGGTGCTCATCTGGTGGGGTGGGAGCTGGGGACAGGCAGTGACCTGGCCTGTCCTCAGGAGCCTGGGGGGAAGGGCCAGGCCAGTGTGGTGATGGAGAGCCATGGGGGGTGGCGGGGGACACACCGCCTGGACCTGGGGTTCTGGGTCCCGGCTGGAGGCCGCAGTAGAGGAAGGCTAGGAACTGCCCGGCGGGGCAACATGGGGCTCCCCCCCAGTGGCCCTAGAGAAGGTCCCAGCTGGTTCCTTTTGGGGACACGCGTGCGGTTTATAGTGGCTGGGCCGTGGTGTGGCGTGTGGGCTGTGGTCAGCCGTGGTCAGCCGTGGTCAGCCACTGGTGAGCCGGAGCGGCCTGCGGGGTGGGACGAGGCACGCAGTCTCCAGGCCCCTGTCCCCAGCTCCCTGGCCCAGAGCAGAAGCACCCCGGGGTGGGGGTGGGGGGTGGGGGGTGGAGCTGTGCCCGGTCAGGACGCCTCGCACAGAGAGCTTCGGGACAGTAGTGACCTGGAAGTGATCTCCACGTTCTGTCCAGGAGCAGATACCAACAGCTTCTTCGCCTACCTTTGAATATA